AAGTCAAAATACTGGGCTCTGTCCATTATAAAGTGCTGGGGAGAGAGTTATGAGATTACACGAATGGAAGTCAAAACTGCCGTTAATTCGTGTGATAAATTTTATATTTTATTGCTTTGAACAATTAGTATAACCTCTGGGATTCTTGGAAGCCTCATCAATACCAATAACGTTTCTCTGAGTATTAGTGTGTAGGAAAGATAGCAGAGTGTCTGGTTTATAGAGTGCTGACATAGAGAATTATTACAATTAATGTCATTGATATGAACTGTGACAAAATGATGAAACAGTGACACCGTGATGTTAGCAGATCCAGATTCTTCACAGTTGGTGAGTGCTGGGACCCTTTGTGCTTCTTGGGGGACTTCTCGAGGCCTTAAGGAAGGACACAATAGCTGCAGTTCTTACATAAGTAACCATTAAAGAAGAGCTGTTTCTGCTTAATGGCCATGATCCTAGAGACTCAGAAACAAATCTCGGAACCCAGCAGCTTTTGGCAGAAATGCGTCCGATCCCTGCAGTAGGTTACCAGCACTGGGCCACCCCAGGTGAGAATAGGTTTCGTGCCTTGGCCTGTTCCCCCTGGCGGATCACTGGTTACTATTCTACAGAGGCTGTCATGCTTGGGCCTACAGTGACGAGACACTCCGGTCCTCACAGGATAGGGGTGGAGCCGGCCCTTTCCTCCCTGCCCAAATGAGACCCTGAGTCACCGCCCATGAACGGCCTCTCTGACTCCTGATCAAGCTGCTTAAGGGCTATGATCCCAGAGACTCAGGAACAAAACTTGGAACCCAGCAGGTTTTGGCAGAAATAGCTCCTATTTAATTGTCAAAATTTTGGAATTCCAAAATCGTGCAGCCCCTACTGTGGCCGTGCGACATCATATGTTATTCATAACGAGAAATTGAAAACAAATTGTCTACGGTTGCCTTTTCAGCAGATTTGAATGTTGGGGTAAAAATCTCAACTAATAATGGTGGGTCTGGTGTCGAAATATTGAATGTAATCAAGGTAGAAAGAGAGTAATGTGGAAATCATCTGCCCCACAGGTAGGGGGAGGGTATGGGATGGGGGAATACTGGGTTTTTGGTGGTGGAAAATGGGCACTGGCGAAGGGACAGGTGTTTCATCATTGTATGGCCGATGCTTAAATTCCCGAAAGCTTTGTAACTGCCCTCACGGTGATTCAATCAATAAATTTATAAAAAAAGAAAAAAAATAAAGAAGAGCTATTTCCTCGGAACAGAGATAGATAGACAGATTGACAGACAGATAAGAGATATATGCTTTAATTTTATATATAGTACATTCAAGACCTTTCAGAGCTCATATCTATTATTCATTAATATCCACTTACAGTATTTAATATATCTTTTTTATTTAAGACCAAACCTTAAACAATTTTGTATATATCCTATAAATACATATGAAGAGCAAAGAAGTTTGTATTTAATTTTTGTGCCTACAAAATTTTGTTACATTCACATACCATTTCATCCATTGTTATCCTAACTTATAAAGTACCAGAATTCATTTTTTTACTCTTATCTTCTATACTCGATTTGAATTGCATTAAAACAACTATGCCCTACCTAGAAACTATGCTGTTTATGCTCCTATGGTAATTGGCACTACCCTTCACATAAGAAAAAAGAGGAGTTGGGAAAGTGAAAAAAATAGACTTATTTTCTGGAAAAGGTGCATTCTGTCAAATGTCTTGGGAGCCATCTGAGAAAAATATTATAATTCTCTCCTTTTTTCAGTGGGAAAACTACAATTCTGTGTTCTTCATCACCATCTCTCCAAAGACTATTAGTTAGAGTGGAAGTAAGTCCCTAGATGTCAGAGCTTACCAAGCACTATAAAGCAGAGAACATCAATGAAAGAGAAAAATATCAAGATTACAAACTCAGAAAGCAAAAGTCAGAGATATTGCCTGCTAAGTCTTTCCTAGTATAATTTGAAAGCATAATATGAAAATAATAGGTAGGCCTTCACGATGCATTCTTTCAAACAAAAATCTTTTTCGGAACACAGTATCTGAACATATAACATTTCATTTTTGCTGATTAGAACCATTTGTTTCTGGTGCAGCAGTGTGCTTGTTTAGATAGCTGGACGTCTAAAGTCTGTGAGGTAAGCCTATCCTTACATAGTGCATCATTTTCTGAAGCAGGTGGATCATTTAATAATATTTGAGAAAAAAACTATGAAGGCAGAATATTTAAAATAAATTGTCCACAGGTTTAAAGCATTATTTGGCTATCCTGGAGTGAAAAAAGAAATCAACAGACTTTGATCTGGCAAATCTGGTCTTCACAAGCCTTCATCCAGGCACAAATCAACCCATTCCTTAGTCAGAAGACAAGAGGGAGGTTAGGTTGGTGAGGAAGTTGGGGCTGGGTTGGTGTGGGATCAGTGGAACACTGAAAGTCGGGTGTGATCTTGTGCGTCAGATATTTTGAGGTCTGCTGTCTTTATATCAGATAGCAGCAATTTGTTTTAAGAGCTATGTTTAATAGGAACCTATAAAATAACTCAAACTCAGACTGATTTGACTTCATATTTGATAGCTTGACCTTCAAAGCAAGTCACTGCTGCTCGATCACTTCAGAGTAAAAAGGATTGTTTTATGTGAAAAGGCATCTATTGAATGATGCTAACCCAGGGATCAATAGATACCATTAATATTGGTTTTACAGAAACCAGAAATACTGTAACAGAAGACATCCTCTTACAAATGACCATTAATAAAAGTCAGGCCTTAACACTGGAGAAGGTTCAGGATATATAACTGAATTAGATGTAATGAAGTCTGAAGTAGGTAGGAAGTTAATTAAATAATTAACGTCTGGATTTTCAAATAGTCTCTGAAAACCTGATGTGGAAATATGTAGTGTGGAAGTGTACTCTAAGTAAAACAATCTTCTTAACTCAATTTCAGTTGAAAATGGAATTATTTGAAACTACTGCTTATAATTTGAGAACTGAAGCAATATTTCTGATACACTTCAAAAATACTGTACTCTTAGTTGGAAACTGAAGCAAACTATGTATGTGCTTAAAGGACATCCTTAAATGGGGCTGGAGAGATAGCACAGCGGGTAGGGCGTTTGCCTTGCATGCAGCCGACCCGAGTTCGATTCCCAGCATCCCATATGGTCCCCTGAGCATAGCCAGGAGTAACTCCTGAGTGCAGAGCCAGGAGTAACCCCTGTGTATCGCCGGGTGTGACCCAAAAAGCAAAAAAAAAAAAAAGGACATCCTGGTGACCCAGGTTCTGTCCCTGGAACCCAATATGGTCCCTCTTGCTCCTCCAGAAAGTGATCCCTGAGTCTGCACAGAGAAGAAGAAAGCCCCGAGTACTTCCGAGTATGTCTGAAAAAATTAAAAACAAAACAAAACAGAACAATGTTAAAAAATTTTGAGAATGTAGTAAACAAAAAAGGAATTATCTTTCAGTTAATGTTGCAGGTTACATTTAATAATGTCAATTAAGTATAGTGTGTATGTGGGAAGGACTCAGTCTACTTTATCTATATAATGCATTTAAAATAAAAAGGTATTGGTGTACTAGCAAACAAAAAAAGCAAGATAGTTATGTGTTAGCTATTAAAATTAGACATGTTGTAAAATGAAAGGTATTTTGCGTTTTCAAAAGTCATTATGATTGGTTTCCCCAACAAAATCTTAGGAGAACTTGTTTTAAAACCTGAGTACCCGAGAACAGATGACTGGTTAAAGAAACTTTGATACATCTACACAATGGAGTACTATGCAGCTGTTAGAAAAGATGAAGTCATGAAATTCACATACAAATGGTACTACATGGAAAGTATCATGCTAAGCAAAATGAGTCAGAAAGAAAGGGACAGACATAGAAAGATTGCATTCATCTGGGGAACATAAAGTAACAAAATAGGAGACTAACACCCAAGAATAGCAGAGATAAGTACCAGGAGGATTACTCCATGGCTTTGAGGACAGCTGCACATGCTAGGGGAAAAGGCAGCTCAGATAGAGAAGGGAGCACAAAATAAAGGGTGTTGGGAGGTTCCTCTCAGGATGAGAAATGCGCGATGAGAGTAGATTATAGACCGAATGAGATTGTCACTCAATGTCTCTTTTGCAAACCGCAGCACCCAAAAGGAGAGAGAGAACAAAAGGGAATGCCCTGCCACAGAGGCAGGGTGAGATGGGGGGGTTGGGGGGTGGCAGAGATACTGGGATTAGTGGTGGTGGAGAATGGGCACTGGTGGAGGGATGGGTACTTGATCATTGTATAACTGAAACCCAGGCACAAAAATCTGTAAGTCTACAACTGTACCTCATGGTGTTTCCCTAATAAAAATTTAAGAAAAATAAATAAATAAATAAAAAGAAATAATTCTAAGAATCAAATAGAATTGACATAGCAGTTCTTTATTTATAGGTAAATATAATTGTGATTCATTAAGAGGATGAAAATGGCCATGTTAAAAATGGCCTGTATTATAGGCTAAATTGGCTCAATTTTAGGCTCAAATGTCCCTATGTGACTGTGGAATTAAACACTATTATATAGCAATTGAATTAAATAAATTAAAGTTTTGTACCCCTAAAAAATTTTAAAAAATAAAAATATCTTTCTTAAAGCCAGAAAATTATAGGTAGGGAAAACAAAATTAATAAGAAGATAAAAACCCCTACATAAATCTGTTGAAAATATCTTTCATATGTATGTACTCATTTAATTATGCTATCTTCATATTTTCTTTATTTTTATTAAAATGAGTTTTCTAGCAAATGGCTAGAATAAAGATCTAGATAATGAGATTTTTTGTCCACTTTTCTACTCTCTCCAAATGTAAAATTTTCCTTTTACATACTAGATGTTCGGTAAATATGTAAGAAATAGATGAATTAGAAAATTCAATAATTCAAAGATTGCCACAGACACATTTGCTTCATTTTTTTACATAATATAGCCAATAATGGTTTTGTTTCTTGTCTTTCAGATACACAAAGATGAAAACGGCAACCAATATTTATATTTTTAACCTGGCTTTGGCTGATGCTTTGGTCACTACCACCATGCCCTTCCAGAGCACTGTCTACCTGATGAATTCCTGGCCCTTTGGGGATGTGTTGTGCAAGATCGTCATTTCCATTGATTATTACAACATGTTCACCAGCATATTTACGTTGACCATGATGAGTGTGGACCGCTATATCGCTGTGTGCCATCCTGTCAAAGCTCTGGACTTCCGGACCCCTCTGAAAGCCAAGATCATCAATATCTGTATCTGGCTCTTGTCTTCATCAGTTGGCATCTCCGCCATAGTTCTCGGAGGAACCAAAGTCAGAGAAGGTAAGAACAGTCATTTCATTTCATCAAAAAAAAAAAAACCCCAATTATATAAACTCTTCATTTGGTAGTAAGTTGTACATGCCGCTAGTGAAAAGCCAAAAAATATCAGTGGAAATATAATGCCTGAATTTGTGGAAGATGAGAAATAAAATAAATTTATCTTTCTTTCCGTGGTTAACCACAGAGTGGGATAATGACATTATCCAAACACAAACACCCAACTATGTTTTATTCTAAAAATATTTTTACCAAAACGTGGGATAAAGCAGGGATCCATAGGTGTGTGGTATTAGAGATTAGAGTTACATTGTATCATGGCAATTTCAAGATGTACATTCTCTTCACTCTTCTTTCTCCCAAAATAAGAATCCTGGAGCTGGAGCAATAGCACAGCGGGTAGGGCGTTTGCCTTGCACACAGCCAACCCGGGTTCGATTCCCAGCATCCCATATGGTCCCTGAGCACCACCACGGGTGATTCCTGAGTGCAGAGCCAGGAGTAACCTTTGTGCATCGCTGGGTGTGACCCAAAAACCAAAATAAGAATCCTTAGAGATATATTCTGTTTCCATTTTCGCTTTTTAAAAAATTATTATGTAAATACTTGATTTACAAAATTGTTCATAAGAATCCTTAGAGATATATTCTGGTTCCATTTTTGTTTTTTAAAAAATTATTATGTAAATACTTGATTTACAAAATTGTTCATAATACAACTGTTTCAATTGTCCCATCACCAGTACCACGACCATTGAGGCCTTTCCTCCACCACTGTCCTGTTTCCCATCCCACTGGGGTTGCCTTAGCAGACATGAACATGTTTATTTTATCTTGCTTGTTACATAACATGGAAAACAGAATTATGGATCAATAAAAGTTAATTTTTGATCACTGTTAAATCTCACAAAGGTGTTACTAAAGCCGTTGTCTGAGGATTTACGGAGGTTGTTTGTGCTGGTTGAGGTTCCTGTGTTATTATTTCTGCTCACGGAGCTTGGTGGGCTTTTAGGCAACTTTCCCATCAAACTTGCTGGGCTCCCACTCAGTGTCAGAACTGTGAAAGTTGGAGGTGTCGCAGAACCACATATGAGCCCTTCAGCACCTCCAGAGCTGGGATAATTTGGCAGTTTGGTGACTTCATGAGGTTCAGCTGTGGATGGACGTGCCGATTCTGTATTGATGGAGTGGGGTGCTACTGGCCTTCTGGCCAGAGGGGATTCTGCCCTCCTCCATTGAGAGAAGGCCCCAGAGTTCTCAGCATGGAGATCCATTTACCTGGGATCATGCAGCTCCTTGGTGTTCTTTATCCTCTACACTCCTTTAATTTACATTCATGTCACCATTATAACAACTTCCCTTTACTGTAGGCAATTCAATATTAGGTTCACAGATGAAAAGATCAACTGTTAGGTTTCAGACCCAATTTCTTACGCCATAAAATAGGAAAGTTATTCTTATTTTCTATGTATTTCTAGGGTAGTGATTCTTATTCTGGGCTGCACAGTGGAATAATCTGGATACTTTAGAAAAAAACTGCTTCCTGCTTCCTGCCCTTGAAGGATCTGATTTACTTAATTGGCCTGACATGAGGTTTGGTCATCAAAATTTTAAGATAAGAATTGCCATTTGGGGAGTTTAGCTTTCCTGATGAGAGAAGAAGATGTGAAAGTATCTTTGGTTTTATTGGGAACTCATTTTGGGGGAGAGAATCAGAATGGTTGCTTTGGGCTTAATAAACGCTATTTATTGCTTCGGCAGTTGTCTGAGTGTTCCAGTTTATGCATAATATCAAGGTTTGTGCATGATAGCATGACTACAGATAATTGAATATGTGCGGCAAAGACTTTCCAGGTCGATGTAAAAAGACAGTTGTTCAAGTCATAGCTTATCATAGCTTGGTACACATTTTTAATTACTATCTGTATTTTCCTTGGAAACTATATGATTTATTTCTAGGGCAGCCACCGCAGGTGTTAAAGATAATAATAGCTAGTAAATGTTATAAATTTTCCAGCTTTATCAGATAAGCATTTGAAAACTTTACTGATTGGCAAGAATTTGTTTCATCATGCTTGCAACAAATGGAAACAAAATTTCAGAAATTCTTGTGAGTCTTGAGTGTCCAGGAACAATAACTCCTACTCAAGAGGAGACGTGGCTTAGACCAACAGGAAAAGAAAATTGGGCTAAATGATACAAGAGGATGATGTTTTCGCAAGTAGACAAATAGCTTTCTGTTTTCACATTGTACTTTAGACTTTTCCACTGTATTCTTCCGGTCATTTTAGTCATTGTTCCAATCCTAAAAAATAAGAAGGAATGGATTTCAGTTAGGTTTTGTTTGTTTTTTTTGGGGGGGGTGGGACTCACACCCAGCGACGCACAGGGGTTACTCCTGTCTCTGTACTCAGGACTTACTCCTGGCGGTGCTCAGGGGACCATATGGGATGATGGGAATCGAACTTGGGTCCGCCACGTGCAAGGCAAACGCCCTACCCGCTGTGCTATCTCTCCAGCCCCATAAGTTAGGTTTTGCAAGAAGAAATGAAGATGGATGAAACTCTGGGAGCCTGATAAGTGGTACTCAGGGGTCCAGGATACTCAGCCAATAGGGTCTGGCAATTGACTGGGAGGGTCTGAGGATGTAGAGCTGATTGGGAGTTTCAGTGTCAGGGACTACCAAGGTGACCTTAGTGGTGATTGGGGGCCCCAGGGCTACAACTGGAAGTGCTCTTAAAGCTGTGATACACACAACTCCTGACCCGGGTACCATCTCCTTCATCCTTAGATGTAGCTTTTCCCGGAAGGAATTGCTGCAGATGAATTTGTGTACATGCAATGGAAGTAAAGACCCAGAGCTGGCTAAAGTTTAATTTCTGTAGCAATTACAAAAAAAATTAGGTGGTCTTCTAGAAGGACACATTTCTTTCAGTCTTTTATTTTCTAAAGCAGATTCTGTTGATGTGGCGAAAGATTGTCTCTAGATTGTAGAGTAGAATAATCACATTGGAAGGTTGCATCTCATCACTGGGAAGACTCTGGGTCACCAAGGATGGAGAATATTCACAGAACGGAATCGGCCAGCGATTGATTCTAATGCAACCTAAAACCAGTTGCTTTGCAACACAAATGCCAGGACAAGAAATCATAACTTTCAAAAAACAAAAACAGAAACAAACCAAGTTTGTACAACTGGTGGAGATAGCCCAGAGGGCTGAAGCATATGCTTTGCGCTGGGGAGTCCTGGCTTCAGTGCAGCATACCATGTGGTCCTGTGAGCAGAGGAGGAAGGAACTAGGCACTGTTGAGTGTGTCTGGTACTTGGACCTCTGTACCTCAATTTCCTCATCTGAAAAATGGGCATTAACAATGCCTCCTCAGATATTTTCAGATGTAAGGAGTCAATAAGTGGAAAGCTATGAAGTAGTGGCCAGTATGTAATGAGTATTTGGGAAATGTTACCTGATGTCATCCTTTGCTATATCACTCAAGTGTCTCTCAGATATTCATTTCATATTGGCGGATCTTGTACACAGTAAAAATCTCATCAATATGTCAAATGAAGAATTTTATATACCATGTGTATGTACAGCATATAATACTGATGTATGTTTTTTGATGCTTAAGTGACGAGAGAATTGCTTATTCATTGACACTGAATTTTTCCAAATGCTTCTTTGACCTCTATTGAAATAACCATCTGAACGTGACTTTCATTTTGTTAGCTGGCGAGTATATTGAGTTGTGTGTGTTGAGTCATAGTTTCAAGTCCAGACATAAATTCATCAGGTATCATGATAGTTCTGATGTTGCTGTTGAATTCAGGTTATCAGTATTTGGTTGTAGTTTTATGTTTATGCTCACTAGGGATATTCTGCTGCAATTTTCTTTTTCTTTTTTAAAATTTTTATTAGTGAGACACCATGAGGTACAGTTGTAGACTTACAAATTTTTGTGCTCGGGTTTCAGTTATACAATGATCAAACACCCATCCCTCCACCAGTGCCCATTCTCCATCCCCACCAATCCCAGTATCCCTTCCGCCCCCCTCCCCCCTCCCCCCCTGCCTCTGTGGCAGGGCATTCCCCTCTGTTCTCTCTCTCCTTTTGGGTGTTGTGGTTTGCAAAAGAGCCATTGAGTGGCAATCATGTTTGGTCTATAGTCTACTTTCAGCATGCTTCTCCCATCCTGGGAGGATCCTCCCAACACCCTTTATTTGGTGCTCCCTTCTCTATCTGAGCTCCCTTTTCCCCTAGCATGTGTGGCTGTTCTCCAAGCCATGGAGTAAAATTCCTGGTACTAATCTTGGCCACTCTTGGGTGTTAGTCTCCTATTTTGTTACTTTATGTTCCCCAGATGAATGCAATCTTTCTATGTCTGTCCCTCTCTTTCTGAGTCATTTCGCTTAACATGATACTTTCCATGTAGTACCACTTGTATGTAAATTTCATGACTTCTTCTTTTCTAACAGCTACATAGTACTCCATTGTGTAAATGTACCAAAGTTTCTTTAACCAGTCATCTGTTCTTGGGCATTCAGGTTTCTTCCAGTTTCTGGCTATTGTAAAGAGTGCTGCAATGAACAAACAAGTGCAGATGTCACTTCGACTCTACTTTTTTTTGCCTCTCTGGGATATATTCCCAGGAGTGGTGCAATTTTATTTTCTTTAAAAACATTTAAACACGAAAATTTTCATAAATGAGTATAACGGTTTTTTTTTTTTGGATCCTACCCAGCAGTGCTCAGGGCTTACTCCTGGCTCTGCACTCATGAGTCATTTCTGGGACTCAGGGAATCATACAGGGGGCTGAGAATGGAATCTGAGTAGGCCATTTGCAAGGCAAGTACACTATCTCTCAGATCCAGTTTATAATGTTTTCAAGGATCTTGAGTGGTTTTTGTCTGGCTGTGGTAGCAAGATAATACTGACTCATGTTTTGAGAAACATTTGAGATGGATTCATACTCTGAACAAATTTTTGTTTGGACCTATGGGTAGAT